GTCTAGGACCTCCCACAAACGACCAGGCGTCGCAATGACAATGTCGGCCTTCTCCAACTGCCGCTGCTGCTTCTGAATGCTCAAGCCACCGGTAACGGTGCAGACGTAGGGCGCTGTCGGCAATCCATCGCAGAGCGCCTTGATGTGGTCCGACAGCTGCTTCGCCAGCTCTCGCGTCGGGCTGAGAACAACCGCCGTCGGGCCCTCGCGCTTCGCATTCGCCTTGTCGACATACAGCTCCAGCCACTTCTCCACGATCGGTATACCAAAGGCCAGCGTCTTTCCGGAACCCGTCTGCGCCTTGCCAATCACGTCCTCACCGGCCAGGATCTCAGGTATCGTCTTCTGCTGGATCAGCGTCGGCTTCGAGAATCCCAGCTTCGCAATCGCAGACACGACGCGCGGCGACAGGTTCAGCTCCACCCAGGCAGCCATGTCCGCTTCTTCGGCTGCGTCGTCCACGGCCATGAGCGCGTCGAACGTGTTGCCCTGCTGTTGCTGCTTGCGTGGAGCGGGCTTCTGTAGCTCTTTGTCGGCCGCTTCCAGCTGCTTCTTTTGCTTCTGCTTCTTCTGCTTCTTCTCGCCGTCGGCCCTGTCCTTTCCTGCAGCTTTCGCTTCGCCGCCCTCGCCCTCCACGCCACCTTGAGCAGCGCCAGCTTCGCCGGAATCGACATCCTCGCCTTCCACAGCGCTGTCGCCAAACCCTTCAAAAGGCTCGCCGACGGCATCTTGTGCGTCTGTCGGTGTTTTCTCGTGCTTGCCCGACCCCTGTCTGCGCGTTGATGAATCGGAAGAGTCGGCGGAATCCTTTTGTTTCTGCTGCTGCTGCTGCTGCTCCTGTTGCTCCGCCACTAAAAACTGCACAGTCCCACCATTTCTCACCACGTCCACGCCCTCAATCACCTCGAGCCCGCCGAATTCCTCTCCGACCGACTGCCAGGCGAGAGAAGCAGCGTCGACCAGCTTCCGCGCCGGCTTCGCCTGCGATTCGGGGTTCGGTTTCGGCTTCGGTTTCGATTTTGTGACAGCGCCGGCAGCAGCGCCCTTGGCCGAGTTTTTGCTGCGCTTCGCGGCTGGTGCGGCGGCAGAGGGAAGCTTTCGCTTGTTTGACGGCGGTCCCATCGAGGCTTTTCGTTTCCGAGGTCTTTTCTCTGGTTGCTTCAGTTCCGAATTCAGTGTTAATGAGCCCCAGCAATTTCTCGAGGTAGAATTT